TCAGACATACTGGCACGAGCATTGGGATCAACTGCGTTATCAGGACTATCACCAGTATCAAACTGGGACAGCGGCTGCTCTGACACAGGGGGTCGTTGCTGGAAGTGCTCTAAGTCACTCAGCGCGAGATGTCGATAGATATGCCAGCCTCATTGATCCGACTCTGGCACCTGCTTGACGAAGGTATACACGGAACAATGGGTTTTAAGTGGCCACCGTCAACGGTGGCACGTTTTCCTAGGGACGGGATTTTCTAGAATTTCGGAATTCTCGTTAGTAACGGTAATTTCAACGATATCAAATCATAGAATGCGGACTTGGAGACTCACCGAACCTGAACCAGTGGCTAGACCTGATTGTGTGGCCAGGTGTCGTGTCAGATCTCTAGCTGCATCTTTCGCCCTCTCGTGTCTTTTCTTGTTGTTGATGACGCTCGACCGCTGGTAGAATTTGCATGCTGTACGATGCCTAGTAAGTCCCCGACTGTTGGTTGCTCTTTCCCAGGAGCAGCCTGGAGCGTTACATGATACCATCAAGTAGATGATGAATAATAGACTGAGAACAAGCCATAGAAGCTTGTTGTGCATTCGACTTCGCTGCTGTGTCGTGAAAAGGCTCTAGTGTACTAGTACTACTAGTGACTAGTCTGAGTCAGGCTGCAATGAAGTTCACTGGGTTTCGAAATCCAAATGCGACAGTTTTAAAAAGTTCTGAGGGTAGTAGAACTTCCCATGCCAATGGGCCACTATGTAGTAGTATTCACAAGTACCGGACGGCCTATAGTAGTAGTAATGAAGGAAGTTCAAGTCACGATGTTGTACAAGCTTCCTAACTGCCTAAAAGTTATTCAAATTTTCAAGCTAGCGGCTGGTCACTAGTACTACACCTCTACATTTGAATTACCACTTTCCAACTCACAGTCCAAAAATAAAAGATACATGTCGATCATCTAAGGCTATACTTCTGGTGTGGTACATGAACTAAGAATCCGTGACTGGGTGGAGATCGTCTGCCAGATGACGGTGTGCATTTACAACAGTCAACAGGATCATCGTCGCACAAGAAAGTCAACAAACAACCTCTACATTATCGTGAGGAATCAGTGATAGAGCTTGAAAGACCAGAATGTTATGAATCGCCTCACCTCAATCATTGATATCAAAGTCAGAGGAAGAGTCATGTTCCAAGTGACTGGCAGAGTCAGCGTGAAGTTCCTCTTCGGCCTCGGAAAGACACGAGGCAGCACCCTCAATCTGATTGAGGGTGGAGTCGGCAACAGAAAATGATCGAAAATCATGACTGTATGCACCAATACAGAAATCCAAATTAGCATCGAGCTCCTCCACACTACGTCCAATCAAGACCCTCCGGAGAACGGAAGCTTCCGCAGCGCTAACGGCATATCTTGCAAGTTCATCTTCAACAAGCATTTCGCGGAGTTGCTTGTCTTGGGCCCTTGCCTCCGCCGCCCAAGCCATTGCCAGAGCAGACAAACATTTGTATTCGCAATCAGCTTCTTTCGCGACGAGAGCTTGTCTGACGATTTTCTTGGGCATAAGTTTCAGGCAACGCGTGAGGATGTCTTTGCCCTGATAAGTTGACTGCCTGTCAACATTTGTAAAATAATGTGCATTAGACCAACATACCTCTTGGATATCCGTTAGACTCATATCAGTCTCGCCAGATTCAAGACATCTTCGAGAAAACCGGAGTTCCAATGCGTTAGGCAGTGAACCATGAGGCTGCTCAAAAGGTTTAAATCTCTTCTGTGCATGCCCCACAATGCTAGGCAGGCGGTCTGATATGGGAGGTATGCGCGGGAATGCAAAGAGTTTGTTTTCCGAATCAGGGGAGGTATTGTCGGATGACGGTGATCGTCGATGCTTGGAGCATACTTTGAGCCGGGGATGTCCTGTTGTAGGATGGTTGCTGCGTCTCTGAGTCCTGTCATTACGGTCACAGTAACTCTGTGATGGTTCAGGCGGAGAGCTGGGTGGTGTCTGAACAAGCAATCGAGTGGAACCAAGTTCATCACTGCTATCATAGTCACGACTGGACTTTCCAACAGAGCTTGGAGGAGTAGTAAGGTGAGAAGCTCTGTGTATACTACACATGATTGCTTGGGGTCCCTTTGAAGTCGAAGGACCTGGTTGGTTCATAAATTAGTTGGCGGAGTTTGAAGAACGGTGAGAAGAACACCCTTACTAAGTCCAATTACTTATGAGTAGACTTTTGGCCCAAAATCATAGCATATCGAGTTGTCAGATCTGTATTAGGAATGTCAGCTGGAAGAAGCCACATGTGAGAATTTGACGTCCTCTTCTGTTTCGAGCTTTGTATATGCACCACATCTGGTCTCAGATTTACTAGTAGAAGTTCGAACTCGTTCGACCACTGACTCGGTGTCTTCTTAGATAGATGATCTATAGATAAACACCTACAAAAACAAATATCTCCACGGTCAGCGATTCAGACAAATACCAATGACTGATAATGTGGTTGTTTGTGGGTGGCTGTTTACACTTCCCCAAGCTACGCTCAGACAAAAGCACTTCTGTGAGGTCAGAACCGAAATGCAATCACTCCAACGGTAAGGCAGCGATTAAAGACAAAGAGAAAATCAGCCCGACAGTATGGTACTGATGAAAACAAACAGAATGATAAGAGAAACCCTTCCTTCAGTAGCAATGCTTTTCGTAATAAACTTATTACAGAAAGTCGTGTGAAGTTACAACAATCACCCCCTCAGCACAAACAGGTAGAATCAAAGGTCAGGACTAATCCATGCTCAGTAGAACTCTTAGTTCACTATTGAACCTGCTGCCAAGGAACTCACGATGAGTATTAAACAGAATGAGGAACGGACGTCCTTGGCTTTCAGTACCAAGTCCCCTATTCAACAACTAAAGTCTAGCAGACAAAGAAAACCCTGGCTCAGTATTGCTACTCCGATGAGTGAGGTCAAGCGTTACTATCAACTCCTGAAGTCTTCCCACTAAGCCTCTTGCTTAGATGGACGTAAAGACAACACAAAAATCCCGAAACAAATTCAGAACAACAACACCTAATACTTAAAGGAAGTGAAAAGAAAAAAAAAAAACACAGAAAAAGAAATAAAAGAAAGAAAGCTAAAGTTTTACCAGTAGAAAATCAAAAGAAAGAAAAGAGCTTGCTTGCTGTTGTTCACGATGACCTCTCAGTTAGTTGCTTAACAGCCCTTGTCACTGTTGCTGACACTGATCACACTTCACACTTAGTTCTATGCTTTTCAAAGTGGGGCCTCCTATCATTATGAGCAAAAATTGGGGTCTTTATATAGACAAAAGGTGGTGGCTGTGCTACTATTTCCCACATTCCTAAGGGGAATGGGCTTATTCAGACTGTACCAGTAGCTATTTACATGAGTCGTTTGTATCATGATTGTGTCATTAGTCCTTAGTCATTTCAAGGTATGACTTTGCCATAATTTGATGTTAGGTCATAGGTCACCTGACTGTTAGGATTCATAAGGCTTAGTCTCATGTGATCAAAGATCATGTGATAAGCTGATTATGTTATGCAAAAGAAATATTCAAGATTTTTGTTGGCTGGTGCCTTGTTCTGATGTTACATTGTTACCCGTAGAAATGACATGAGCTGTGTATTTAGGGTTTCAAAGAAATTCTCACAGTGTGAGTTATGCGAGAATTATTTTTCATAGTTGCCTGACATGCGTGGGATTTATTCTGAGTCATCATTAAAGGTGACTAATCAAATTTTTATCACAAACATTACATGTACAAAATTATTCAGCCCATCTTAGTCCAAGTTCCATTGAAAAGATGAAATACAATATTTGTCTGAGCTGCATTCTGGCTTTAGAGTAGAAGGAAATGGTTTTGTAGTGATTTCTAGGGTATTAGGCTCATGGGAGAGCATTAGTCATCCATGCACCAAACCAGTTTGGTGCAGGTCATCGCGTATGGTTCAGGTGGTGTACCATGACTCGAACCTCATATCGGATTTGGAGCAATCAATTGGATTCATGTTGAAGTCACGACACATGTGACTTTTGGATACCGCAAATTTGAAGTTGAGTCCGTGACTGCCTCCCGTCACGGTGGTTGACACCCACCGAAGTTCTAGCATCCTGCCTTGCCAAACTGGCGAGCCTTGAAAAATGAGCAGCTACTAGTCGCTGACTCGAAATTTTGGGACTCTGATGGAGTCAAGATTATTAAGTTCACGAAAAAATATGGCGTGGTACTACTAACTACCAGTACGTTCAATATTATCTAAGTCATGACTGTGATTCAATGTTATTTGGATCATAGACTCGGACAGTTGCTGGCAGCCTACCGTTGTGTCAGACTAGGCTACTACTTCAGCTTGAACTTTTTGAAGGGCAGGCGGCTAGTTGGGTGGCCAGCCGAGTCAGTCACCGTGACGGCCACTTGTTCAATGGGCCCAGACTCGGAAGTTGAACTCAGCCTGAGTAGTAGTAGTTGCAGCATCCCAGTTGAGTTCAAACATTTGCATCTACTGAAATTTTAGAGATAATTCTCTTCAAGTGGATTCGAACAGTCAAGGCTCGGATAGCGGTCGATGCAACTCAAGTTGGCCCCTAGCCAACCACCTTCCAAATCGGAGATATTGATTGGAAAATTTGGAAGGAAATCATTGATTGAATGATTGGCAATTGGATTATGCGGAACTTCCGAATCTACGGAGATCTACGGTAGGGAGTAAGTTGCTCGGGCTTCTGTCACTTGAAGAAATTCTGATTGGAAATTTGTGTGCATACTAGGCTGCTGACTCTCCAAACGGAACTTCCTAGCGGTCACAGGCCATGTACTACCAAGAAGGTGCTCCAGAGCCATGGGATCTGTTTGTTCAACTAATCTTATCCACCAGTAACGTATAGTTATGATATCTCAGTTGTCTGACCTCTAAATCGAATCTTGAGGAGTCACCAGCAAGTTGGTCACTGAACTACTGCTGCACTCAGTGCAGACTTCAACATGGATTTCAACACCATCGTGACAGACAACTTGAGCCCTGGGGCCTATGACTCTAATCACACCTCTCAACAGGTCATTGCAGGTTACGATGACCGATATCAAAATACCTCTCATTCTGGCGGATGGTTTAATGATCCACACCATGACATCTTAGCAGGTGAGCCCAGGTGGTGACACCCGACGGTGTCGGCCTTCTCTGATTCAATGGTTCGTTTTAGATCACAACCAAGTGTCCCAAATGACAACCTATCCTCAAGACACTCATCACTCGACCTACATGGATTCGGGGCCCCATCTGAACCCTCAGGATCAGTACGCCAATCAGTCGTCTTCCATTGACCCCAGTACTTCGCATCCTCAAAGCCATCACCCGACCCACGTCATGGTTGACTCGGGGCATCATCCGAACTTCCAGCCTGAATATATGTATGCCAATCAGTCGTCTTACGTTGACCACACTGGTACTTCACATCCCCAAAGTATGCATCACCCGACCTACCTTGACTCGGGGTCCCATGTCAATCCCCAGAATCAATACATCAATCAGCCATCTTGTGACATTGACCCTAATACTTCGTATTCTCAGAGCACGCACCACCCGACCTACATCACGGTTGACTCGGGGCTTCATCCGAACCCCCAGCCTGAGGATCTGTACGCCAATCAGTCGTCTTACGTCGACCCCACTGGTACTTCAAATCCCCAAAATGTGCATCACCCAACCTATGTTGACTCTGGGTCCCATGTCAGTCCCCAGGATCCATACGCCAATCAGCCGTCTTGTGATGTTGACCCTGATACTTCGTATTCTTGGAGCACGCACCACTCGACCTACATCACGGTTGACTCGGGGCTTCATCCGAACCCCCAGAATCAGTACGCCAGCCAATTGTCTTACATTGACCACACTGGTACTTCACATCCCCAAAGTGTACATCACCCAACCTACGTTGATTCTGGGTCCCATGTCAGTCCCCAGGATCCATACGCCAATCAGCCGTCTTGTGTTGACCCTAGTACTTCGTATTCTCAGAGCATGCACCACCCGACCTACATCATGGTTGACTTGGGGCTTCATCCGAACCCCCAGAGTCAGTATGCCAGCCAATCGTCTTACGTTGACTCCAGTACTTTGCAGAGCATGCATCACCCAATCCCTGGTACATCAGATCCTGAGAGCATGGATGACTTGGTGTATGCCAAGAGCACATATGTTTCGACTTATATTGACTCGAAGCCCCGCACGAATCCCCGCGATCAGTCCGCCAATCATTCTCACTTCTCCAATGACCATCCAGGCCCTGAACAACATATATCGGTCCCGCGGACAACTCACCACCGACCTGCTGATGGATTACATTACCATCACCGTGCCGGTAAAGCCTACTATCATGCTCCCCAATCCGAAATGTCTTATGAACGACCTGACCCGTTGGCTCAGTCCACATACTACAGTGACATATCTCTGTATAATACGAGGGAACGGACGTGCACAATATCCCGTATGATACGGGCCAGCGGACCATGGGCCCATGATAAAAATATTCTCGACTATGACGGATGGGCCGGGAGGCAAATTATTCCCGATGGAGGCGGGTGGGCCCATGCAGGGAATATATAGAGTAGATGAGTGGGCCGATGTAAATGAATATTAGGTAGACGGGTGGGCTGAGGTAGCTGGATATTATGCAGATGGGTGTATTAAGGTAGATGTGTATGAGATAGATGGGTAGGTACTTGTTATCACATTCACGGGTGGGCCCAGACACATATTAAATTAGACGGGTGGGCCGAGGGTATTATACAATATTGTATTATACGGGTGGGCCCAGACGCATATTAATTAGACCGGTGGGCCGAGGGTGTTGTATGGGATGTTGTATTAGACCGGTGGGCCGAGGGTGGTATACAATATAGATGGGTGGGCCCATGTGTATCATAATTGTAGACATGATGGAGCTGAGGTAGTTGTACATCAAC